GACTGCACTTAATTGATTTTCCCGAATTAACTTGTTGATTTTTTCTTGCAATCGTGTATTTGCTTCAGTATTTCCGTTTTGTATGGCTCTTTTCCTTTGATTCAGAAGGTGGTTCACAAGAGGAGACATGAACGGAAGGTCGCGTGATGACGTTCTGACCTTAATTAGTGGGAAGCTCTTATCGAATTTTGGCCATATATATTATTTCATAAAATTTTAGGGTTATCTCATCTAGGTTATGACTATTCATAATTATCGTGTTCCAATCAATAGATTCAAGTTCACGAAGCATATTTAATTGATGATGTTGTCTCACATCTCTGAAATAGGAATTTGTCCTTATTGCTTTAACTATGTTTCGGTGGAATGTGATAACCATATCATGGTCGGATCTCACCAAGCTTTTTACAACTTTAACAGATTTCTAATAGTTTGGGTCATTTGTAATAAAGACATCTAATAATTTTGGCCGTCTCGTAGGGGTCTTAAGGAGTAGGTAAATGGAAGTTGATTAAGAACAGATCGAATATTTAAATTGTTAATGTCACTATTATATTTGAATTCGGTTTGGATAACAATAGTTGTTCGCACGAGTCAATAAGGAATTCGATAAGGTCTTGCTCATTATACTCATAGTCAGGTGGGTGGTAAATAGTTGCAACAAAGAATTTAGAGTTTTGTGTAATAATTTTTGTCCATAAACATTCGAATGGATTATCCAAATCAGGTAGTAGTTGCATTCTCCAATCATTCCTGCCTAAGATCGCGACATCTCCTCCTCGACAGTTTGTTCTATTCTTCCTAATGATGGAAAAATTGGGAGGACAAACGAGGGAGCTAGGTATAGTCGGTTTGAGCCATGTTTCGTTTATACAATAAACATCTATGTTATTGCACTTAATGTCTGCGCACAAAGCAGAAAAAGCATCAGGTTTAGCAATAGATCTGGCGTTCAACACTGAGCAACATGGAATTAAGCGTGGTTGACTCGGGGCAGTTTTATTTACTTGTATAGGTCTCAAAGTGATGCAATGCCTAAGAGATTTTATATGATTATGCTGTCTTGTGCGTGGAGTAATTCTGACGGGTATCTTATTGCTGCGGAGCGAGCGAGCCTGAAGCGAGCGAGCGTAGCAGCAACCTAATATGTGCAGAGAGGGGGTTTTGAACTAAATTTTACTTAGCGCATGGAATTGTGGCCGTGCGCGCTTTCTATGCGCAGAACACAAATTTTAAACTCGCTCGAGTCTTCGAATTTTTGTCGAATTTCTAAAGCTTTTTCAAGTCTAATGTTACGCTTACATTTGTTTTGGACTTTGGCTACTGATAGTTCTATATTTTTTTATAAAGTTTTGGTTTCTTAGTGTGATAAATCTGTGTATATAGTCTATATAATGTGGTATTAAAATGCGCCTAGCAGTAAACAGACTTGATATGAAATCTGATCTTAATTTACCTGTACACCTCTGATTGCCCTTTAACCCCTGGTCTTTGCCACTTCAATATATATTGCTTCTTCTCAGTTCCATTCCCAGCTCACTAGTCGCTGCGAGTAATCACTGTGCTTGATATAATTTGTGCTGTTTACCGTAGTTCTATTTGCTTTTAATGCCCGCAGCAATCCCTACCTTGCAGGTACTCTAGTTTAGTTCGGTATCGGGTATCTTATGGGTAATATTGTTAAGGAAGGGACAAACCTCTAGTTCTATTAACCATGGACAAACAAACTTGGATGATTCGTAATCACCTGTCAACGCCTGGGCGGTCTGGTGTAATTCATCATCAGGGGTGAAGGGTACTGATTTGGGTAACTCATTGGGGGCTGTATGGCTGGAGAATAGGAATTTGGATATTGTTACCATATAGAGGTTGGAATTTTCATTAAAGGATTCAGTGCGGGTAAATTTCTCCAAGGTTCTCGGTAATAATAATTCTGGTACGGCGGAAATGGGTTGGTGAATCGGTGGGATAAAAAATCAGGAGAAGCATAATTACCTGGGTAGGGCATGGGGGATGAGTTACGTATCAATTTGTCGTGGGAAAAATCACACATCTCTTTCTTCAGACAGTACCATCTTTTATGCAGAAAAGGACATGGTATATTGCATTTCCGTGTTTCAGATGGTTTTGGGTGTGTAAAGTCGCATCGGCCGCCTTTAAAACATCTACCACGGCGTATGAGAAAAGGGCACGGGACAGAGGTTTTTAGAGACGGATTGTATTTGGGTTTTTCCCTTTCGCTGTTAATTGATTGCTGCGATTCCGATTGCAAGTTCGAATTTAAGCCTTTGTGTGTATTGTTTTTATTCTGCTGTTTTGGGAAAAACACGACATCATCATTTGTAAGGTCAATGTGATTATTCTTCAAATCGTCGGCATTGCATTGGCTGTTGTCATTATGCCGAATAAGGCTATTGTCATGAGAGGTTTTTAGAGATGGAGCGTATCTAATACGGCTATTGTCATGAGAGGTTTTTTGGGGACAGATCATAGCTAGGTTTATTCTCTTCTATGTTGGTTGACTGCTGCGATTCGGATTGCAAGTTCGAATTTATGCCTTTGTGTGTATTATTTTCATTCTGCTGTTTTGGGGAAAACACAGCATCATCATTTGCAAGGTCAATTTGATTATTATTCAAATCATCGGCATTGCATTGTCCGTTGTTATTATGCCGAGCAAGACTATTGTCATGAGAGGTATTAAGTAATTCAGTGTTAATTGAGCTGAGGTTACTTTTGTTAGATTGTTCACTGGCATGAAAAGCGGCCGCTTTGTGAATACTTTTAGCTTTGTAAACTAATGAGCCTGGTTCTTTGTCTTTATCGACATTATAAGTTATCTTGAGAAACGGCTTTTCAAGAGCCAACAGCCTTGCTTTAGGGAATTCATTCCCTTCGTTAAGAGTACAAATTACATCGTCTTGGCGTCTTATAGCGGCTTCCGATTCTTTCTGTTTAACTCTGAGCAGATCAATATCTAACTCAAGCTTATTTTTGGAAATTGCTGCAAATAATGGCGATTCTAAAATTGTTATTTCAAGCTTCAAGCCCTCTAGATCAACAGAGCAGAAACATTTACATACCTCCAGTACATCAGGATGTACTGTATCGCCATCGCCAACAATCGCTCCATCAGTACCATTCTTGCTATCAGCTTTGCTTCCTTTACTCTTGTTCACCAAGCTCTCAAACTTCTGTGTTAAAAAGTTCTCAGCACTGTCTACTTGAATCACAAGTTTCTGGAACTGCCAGTCAAACCATTTAATAACAAAGTCAGGCTTTGTAGCACAAATTCAAAATTTTTCAAATTTTTCAAAGATTCAAAATTTCATCAACAAAGCACTTTAAGTCGGCCAAGGAACCGGTCCAAAGATAAGTATCACCATCGTGTATCAACATATTAAAATGTGGATAAGATTAAATGTAGATATTGAGTAGAAAAATATAAAATAAACGGAGCTTACAAAAACATGTCCGACTCGTGCCGTGCTCGACTTGTTAACTGTTAACAACGTCGCTCTGGTGTCGGGTCAAATTTAATTTTTGCCCAAAAAGATATACGAAAAATCCTTCAAAAGATCGTCGTAAACATTCGCTGACATTGGGCCTCGTCGCATTCACTTTGCATTTACGGCCGAGCCCGTTTCTTCATAAACGTAAAACTTTGTGCAGTATTTCAGATCGAGTTTTCTCTGGGTGCTGCAGCAAAATCTCCATGATAACGAGATTCTCGTGTAGTAGCATTACGCAAGCGTATGGCCAGTCGATAGCAGCCTTGTCTACATGGCCTAGCATACAAAATTTTCGAACATATCGAGCAATCGTTTTCGTTCACAGTTGTAGTAAGATGCTCACTTCGTCGATTTGAAAGCCCAAGATTTCGGTCAACCAAATTTCTCCCCGTCGTAAGTCTTGGTTATACGCAGGCGGCATTTTTACAATTACCTTCACACCACAGTGTTCACATCTGTGGTCATGCAATAGTTGAATTAATGCGAAACAAAACCGTCGATTCCCATGATGCATTGCGCGCTCATAGTTTAACGTTTACGGTTTTGGGTTTTGGACGGACAACCTTTTTTGAACAAGGCGCCTGCTCAGGCGTTCACATTGGCCTGAAAATAACGAGATACGTGCTATGGTGCAAAAAGGCAGGAATACAAATCTTAAATCGCAAGCAAATTTTATGGACTTTTTAAAAAAATAAAAGACCTTTTCGGGAGACGTAATGGAGATCAATGCACGTGCAAATCATGCCGACCTACAGAATCGATTTCCGGTTTTCCTAACAGCGCATTGTTTTCATGTGCGTTCCATAGGCCGCGCTAAAAATATAAATATTCTGTAAATACCGAAATAAATGATGAAAATCTCAAGACACAAGCTTAAAAATAACACTATAAATAGTGTTTTCGATTCTGGTTCCAATAACATTATCACGAAAAAGATATGTCCAAAGGGGCCGAAGTTATGTTCGGCAAAATGTATGGCTAGTTTACATTGTTTGTTGTATTATGAAATATGATACCATACTTGTATTAAAATTCGCGTCGAACTAATGTTATTGTAAATGAGTAGACTTGCCACAAGTCGACCTCGAACGAAATGCGTTTCTTCGAGGTCGACTTGTGGCAAGTCTAGCAAATGAGAACCATACAAATGATACAATAATGGTTCTAGTTCTTGTTGGTATTTTGAACGCACGCTTTATCTTTAGTATAGCTACCACAAAGCTTTTCACGCGGATTATATTTCGTGGAGTACTAAATATTATATTTTGTGGTTTTCGAGTCATTACACAAAGAAAAACACATCAATTCAACACGCAAGAAAGTCCAAAGTACGACACAACGTAAAATACATAGAAAACCGGCACAATTCTTTGAAAATTCAACGAAACTGTGTAAAATATAGTTTGATCACTCTGTGAAAAGCCGCCATTGTAGTTCGGAATTGTGCGCGTGCGTACAAGTGTATAGGCTAATAAACGAAAAATGTACCACAAGCATGGCATGAGTCGGCTATTACGTACATATATACGAGCTTATTACTATACTATCGAAATCATGGAACCGAGGGAATCGATGGCATTTTGGCTTAATCGTTGCACCCTGAGCCTGCGATGAGCTAACGCAAACTTGATTTCTCGACTACGAAAAAAACAGAAAAAGGGGGATTTAAGACACTTTATAAATCATAAACAGAACGATTTCCTTTTTTTTTTACATTCTGGCTTTTATCTACAATATGTTCCTTTTCTAATAATTATAGGCACCGTAATCATGACATCGTCGGTCCTTGAAAGTTCTGAAGAAAAGATCAATGGCTTTAAGTTGATGAGGTTGATTGTTGATGGAGGAACAGAGGTATTGAGAAACATCTTCTTAAGCATACATCCAGGTAATTTGCATGCTGTTTTGTCTACTCATTGCCATACACTTTATCCACTGTTTAAGACCAAGAACATAATCACGCAACCACAATGGGATAAACTGTACCCACCTCCCCCAAGAATTCCAAATATTCAAGAATTTGATATAACATTACTTGTTATCCTGTTAAGGAATATTTGTGGCTTATCTCCTCCCAGTACAGGGTGGAATGTTATGCCAAGTTCCACTGACAATTCTCGTGAAGCGAACATTGTTCGTATTAGGCTATTTCGTAATAATTTCTTTGGTCATGTCCCTGGCATTGATGTTAGTAGGTTAGATTTTGAGGCTTATTGGGTGGAGGTTGGTTCGGCTTTACGTAGTTTGGGTTTAAATCAAGCTGAAATTGACAGATTGAAGGCTGAGGAATGTGGAGAAGAGGAAGTGAAGCGTGTGAGAAAAGAATGGAATGAAAGTGAGAAAGAAGTATTGATAGAACTTGGTCGATTGGGGAAAAAAATCGATGAATCCTTGAAACAAGTTAAGTCTTCCACAGAAGGCATCCTTTGTGAGTGCCTTAATGAACATGACTTTAAAGACGAAATACAATCGTTTTATGTCAACTACACTAAAGGCACTCGTGAGTGGGTTTTTGACCAGGTATCAAAATGGCTAAACAACAAATCGTCTTATAATCGTGCCTTCATTGTTTCTGGTCAAGCTGGAATGGGTAAGTCTACTATCGCCGCAGTTACATGTACACGTTTCCCGGAATTTTTTGGAGCTTGCCATTTTTTCCAATATAACAATAGTAGGTACAATAATCCAAAGTTTCTCCTCCAGTCGTTGGCGTCGCAGCTATGTCATGTCATTCCGGAATATAAGCAAAATCTTACCAACAACTTATCTGGTAATAAAGCACAGTTGTTGGACCACCAGAACATCGAAGGGATGTTCTCAGTGTTGTTTCAAGAACCATTTTCAAAGATTTCCGATCCAGGTAAGCATTTTCTGATCGTAATAGATGCGCTAGACGAATGCCGACAGGAAGAAAAACACAAGCTTGTTGATTTCATTGCTACATATTTTCACAAATTTCCCATGTTTATTCGATTTTTAATCACAACCAGATCAGAAACAGATATTGCCCGTAAATTCCAAGAATTAAACCCCCTGTTTCTGGAGCCAGATGATGAACGGAATTTAAAGGATCTTCGACATTTTTTTGAGGATAAATTGAAGACCATGTCAGAATATGTTCAAAGGGAGGAGCTTGTCGAAAAATTAGTTAAAAAATCTGAAGGTCTGATGCTCTACGCATCTTTTCTTTGTAAACTTCCTGAAAACGGTTCCATCATATCTAACAGTGAAAACTTACCTGCAGGTATTGAAGAGATCTACAATAGGTATTTCAATCGCCTTGAAAGCGAACTTCGAAATCTAGGCATTGATGAAAAACAATTTTTAAAATTTTTAAGCGTAATAGCAGTTGCAAAACGACCGCTTCCTTTAGCACTTCTTGAAAGATTACTTAGCTCTGACAAAGATTTGTCGATTGCGGGCAGAACTTTGCGAAAATTAATTAATTGCCTCTCTTCTGTCCTTGTCATCAAGGATGAATCCGTGTCGTTTTTTCACAAATCAGTAAAAGATTGGCTAGTAATAACAAATCATGATTTCACAATCATTGAGACATATGGTCATAGAACGCTCGCTGATATTTGCGTTTTTCAAATGCAAACATTAAAGCAAAACGAAGTTAGCTCAACATTTGATCTTGCTATCGTCTATGCATTGCAGTACGGAACACAACATGTATTAGAGGCGGAAATAAAAGACGTGTATTTCCTGACAGAATTGATAAACCACGTCACTGACTTAGAAGTCGTGCATGCGGGTGTTTGTAGCGATATTTATACAACATTAAGCAATCTTTCTAGCCTAGATAGCTGCAATATGCACAACAGCTCAATATGTGAGGAAACGCAAAGAACCATAAGAACGCTCATCTTTATAATAAGAAAGTTTATATACATTTTGAAAGATGTTCCACAGTCATTTCTACAGTATGTTCTAAATGAAAACGATGACGTACTTTCACCCAAAGCATGCGCCTTGTTAATGACCCGCTACAGGGGTCTTGCATATTTCGAATCTGAAGACGGAAAAGAAAATATTGAAAAGGCTTCGATAGGACGTATTTTAACGTCAAGGCAGGTTTTAGATATTGATATTTCACCGTCAGAAGATTTCCTTATATGTGGATACGAAAAAGGAGTTGAATTGTTTTCTCTGTCTGATTTTAAACTTCTTTGGAAAATTGACGATTTTCTTGTTGAAAGACGAGAATGTGCATGCTGTTTTTGCCGATTAACAAAACCACATCGTCGCATTGTTTTTCACCCTCTTAAAAACATCATTTTCCCCGGGCAGCTTACCCGTGTACTTAATTTAAAAGGAAAATTTGAAACTGGAATGCTTGTATGCGAAGAAATACCCAGTAAGTTTACAAATTGCTGTTTTTCTCACGATAATACAAAGATGATAACAAATTACGACATTCATTTGACAGTTTGGAATCTACTTGAAAATAAGAAAATAGTAAGTCTTTCTTGTCGGTCAGAATTATTTTCCATTTTGTTCTCAGCTAATGACAGATTTATTGGAACAACAAACATTGACGAGTTATGTGTTTACGATACTGAGAACAGTTACAGCATGGTATCAAGGTGTTGTTGTGGAAACATCAAAGTTTTAGTTTCGCCGTTTCATTTAGATTCCTGGTACTGCTTGGTGGTAAAAAGCGTGCTAAGAAGAAAAATCGAAATTGTTAAATATGATTTAACAGTTAAACCTGTCCGAGAACATTTTTTTATGTCAATGATGCCAACTAACGCTAGGGCTGCCGCTGAATTCCAAGCGGTAATGGAAAGTGAAGATCGCTCGTGGCTTGTCAAAGTAGGCTGTGGTTCTTTTTTCATCCTCAGTAATGGAAATGTTTTGGTTTCCAGCAATCACGAAAGTGAAATAAAATTGTTTAGACTTAATGAGTTGATTCAGAATTCAAAAACTATGCAAAGGCCAAACCTACTTCTCTCTCTCCGGTATGCGGTAAGTTGTTCTGTTTCAGTCGATGGAAGATATGTTTACACACATGACAGTAGAGGTACTTTGCGCATCATGAAGCCTCAATCAGTAACATTTAAGATACTTGGTCTAAAGAAAGACAATCTTATTCCTTTTGTTCCAGTAGCGAATGGTGTGTTCTTTTGTGGAGAGGTACGGAATCCTTTATGGACACTATTTGTGGGTAAAAATGAGTTCTTTGCAGGCATCCCTGAACTGTGGAATTCCGAAGTGACGCAACGTCTCGCTAGTTTCCCTGAACTGACTGGTACTTCTCATTGTCTTTCAGTTGCACAAGATTTAGTAGCTTGCATTATGGAGTTGCAGGTTTGTTTTTTTAATGTTCTGAAAAAAACAATAGTTGCACGTATACCATTCCCTGAACATATTTTATTCTTTTCACGTGCACACAAGCTTGAAATCAAGGTGATCGCATGCAGTAGTCTATATCATGTGCTTATGAGAAATGGAATTTTTACATATATATTACAAAATGCGAACAGTGTAGATTCAGGATCACATGTATTTAACATGCCAGTCGTAAGTTACATAAACACTGCTTCTTTTTCCCCCAATGGACGGTTATTAGCATTCCTTTCGAGTAACTGGGAAACTTTGAATATCTTGGACATTGATACAATAAAAATTCGTAGGAAGCTTTCGCTCTATTGCGCAAAAGGATCGAAACTGCAATTTGTCGACGAGGAACACCTTCTTTGTGAAATATATAATACTCACTTGTGTTTAATTAATGCCAAAACCTGTGACATATTAACTTACATCAGTATGGGTTTGGTTAACGACGACCTACATTACCCAAGTGTGGGTGTTTTTGCATGCCGTGATACAGTTGGTATTATTTTTTGGAGTTACCATAACGAAAAATTTAAACTAATTAAACTTTGGTTACCACAGCAACGTAAAGATGAGAATGAATTATCCGAATGTTCTTGCTGGATGCATTCTGGAAGTATAAATATCCCCATCCGTAGTTTTCAAAATGAAATACTTACGGCTTTTCAGTTCAGTGTTACCATATAGTTATGTATACTCTCAAGATATATAGTTGGCATAAACTACAAATAATACAAAGTTGGTAAACCGTTTTAGCGTTGCTTTGTTTTCTATAGTTTAAACAATGTTTTATGCACTATTTAAAAAACGAGCAGGAGTGTTTTATTAGGTTTAAAGCCACGAGCGCGCAGCGCGAGTGGCTTTAGACTTAATAAAACACGACCCGCGAGTTTTTTAAATGACTTCAAAAACGTATGCATAGTAAGTCAAATCTTTATATAAAAATCTTTATATAAAAATCTTTATATAAAAACCTTTATATAAAAACCTTTATATAGTTTGCATAACAATGGTCTTTTGTTAAAGTGTTCTTTAGCTGGTATAAAGACGTATGCACGTGACTAATTTCTTACTCAAGATTGGATAATTGCTTTATGAATTATTAATGAGTTTTTGAAGTTGTTTTGCGTAATTACATGAATTGACTTTCATTGGTAAATTGTACAGGGTGTCCCAAAAAAGTGACACTATAGAAATTATCTCATTGTTCTTAAGCCGCTCTTAAACGCGCGTGATTACACGCCTGGGAATTTAATGAACTTGTATTTACATTTAAGCGTTTTAAAACGTTTTCGCTTTGTCCAAATATTTTAACGCCTGAGTCAAGCAAAACGATTACACTAATAAACGGTTTGCTTTTTTATTTTAAATTCCAGAAGCAGAAGTTTATGCACCTGTGGGATCAACTTAATGCTAGGGCATTCAAATTATAACAATAGGATAATTTCTATAGTGTCACTTTTTTGGAGGACACCCTGTAGAATGTATGCTAGCTGTTGCACTTATTTTCCTAGCTGCCAAAGCAGTTGTTAAATATATTCTCCAATTATTGGGCGATTTCATCATCATCATATATCGCGAATAATTTTTTAATATTTTCTTAACTAGTCTTGACGGTGCTATATTTAATGGAGATGGTCACAAAGCTTGAGCAGTTTTAATGCGGGGGAGGGGCGGCTAAACGAACGTGATTGAATGAAGAACCACTTAGGGCCAAATTCGCCATTTTTGGGGTACTTTTTTGAAAATGGCGTGAAAAATCTAAGCGACGTGAAAACATTTTTTCAAATATTTAACTGTAAATTAACTTATAATGATTATACTCACAATTAGTATAGAAATCCTTATTCATTGCGTCCAATCTCTAGATTTGGACGGTAGCTACCTAAAAAATGGCGGAGTGAGAAAGGCTAATTGAAAACGATTAATGTGTACACAAATCTTTAAAATTTGTCTGTCAGAGATCGGCAAGTGGAATCTTTATTAATTATGGTAATTAAAATCAGTTTAATTTAATTTAATTAAAAATAAAAGTTTTTGGTAAAAAGTGAATATGTTCTTCAATGATTTTTTTATTTTCGGGTGGGTTGGTGAGTTTAATCTGTTTCACTCCATAAGTAAAAAATTATAATTAACATTGTCACTGGCATTCAACGTATGCATAAAGTATATATACGTTATTTACCGGCTGGTAAATGAGACCGAGACAAAATATTTTTCTATCCGGACCGACCTAAACGGTAAATAACGGGGGTTTTTTTTTGTCGAAGACTCAGAGGCGAATGGCAACGGTTTTATTAAGATTGAGCATATAGAAAACAAAACAATAAAAAAATTTTGATATTTAATTATTTTACTTTAGAAAACAAACAATTCAATTAAAATACAGTACAATTATTTTAACCATCATTAAAATTATTTCAAAATTACATATTCATATTTTTCAGTTTTAAAACACACATACAAAAATTTTTGCTTTGCTTTGGACATTACGTATAGGATTCCGGACCGTGGTCAAATATCGTAAAATTCCGCCCGTTGCTGCAGCCAATCAGATTGCAGAAAACGCTAGGATTCCGCCCGCTGTTGATTTACAAAAAAATAAAAAACAGTATGCTCAGTTGTTTACAGAGTGCTGAATAAATATTTTAATCGGTTTTCTGCAATGAAAACTGACTGCATAAAGAACATAGGAAAACTGTCAAATTGACTACAAAAATACATAAGAATATAGAAGTTGCGCGGCCAGGGCAGCACAACGTTCCCAACCTATCAGATTATGTGCTATCAGATTTATACGGGTAACCCACCTTCACTCTGTTTCAAATGTTACAGGAGTGCGATTTAAAACTGCTGGTGTGGTTTAGATTTTTTGATATTTCAATTCCGATACGCTGCAGATTCAAGTATTTTTTATTATTTTCTCTTAGGTTTCTCCAAAAAGCCTTGTTGAGTTTTCGCGCTGGTATAAATTGACACTATAGAGAATCGTCCCTTTTTGCAGTTGTTTATGCATTTATTTAGTGTCAAGTGCCTATCTTTTTTGTAACTAATTTGTTCTTTATGCAGTGTTACTCTGTTTTTTTAGCTCTGCAATCCACATTTGATTTTATTGCTCATGTTTTTACCACATGCAATTGTCAAGTAATGATACTGTATAATTAGCCCGTTGGGTTTTTGGCAGTCTCATGTGGTAAATTTCTATTCCCGTCCATCTTTTCTTTTGGTCTTCTTATTTCTAGTGGATGAAGTTTTTTGCTTTTTCTATGCCGTTGTCAATAACAAAATTGAGATAATTGTTTCATCCGAGTTTCGGTCCAACTTACCAGCTATTTGGATAACCGATTGAGGCGTTTATAAATGTTTACATTTGCACTCAATGCGGCATACCGACATAAATAATGGGCTTTCAGATATTTTATAAGCACGACGTGAAATGCCCTTAGCCGTGGATAATAGTTCATTCATTGTCGTTTTCAGCATCTTGAAAAATCATTATCATTGCCACTTGATGCCACTAATGTAATTGGGGCTCTTACTTTGTATTGTACAGGACAGCTTCGTTCCTCTATGAATTACCAAAATTTGATCAAGACTAAAGTTTGTGGGTTTTTAGGAGAACGAAGCAACCTATACAGTGATAATCAACATAATCGATTCCTTACCTTCTTTACATTTCTGTGTGGAAAGAGGTTCCATGCAATTAAAAATATGTTTTTTTAAGAAGCGAACTGGTCAAACTTACATTAAAAATATGAAAGAAAATTTTCTACCGCAAGATTCCCAATCAAAATAAGCGACACAAAAACATACGTTTTTGTACCAAGAAAACAAGACTCATGCAGCCAAGAACTATAATTTTTTGAGAAATATACCGAAACGAGGACATGACCTATCACTTTCGTTTCGTTTTCATGTTAAAGTTTATCTTATTCCTGCATGATGAATGTTTAATGAAGAAAGAGCCCCAATTTTGACAATGACGATTTTCTGATTATCAATACGTTATGGAAAAGTTAAAAACATGCAACTTAGTGGAATCCAATAAGCTAGTTCGACATTTTGACTGTGTATCAAAATGACGTGTTCTGAGTTGGGAGAAAATACAACTGAATCACATAAAACTGATCTAGCTGAGACTGGACGTATTTATATTTTTAAATATTCAGTGACTAATGTTCGACATAAAAGAAAAAATAAAACTGTCAATTCAATGCATTTCCTAATAAACTTTAATGACCTTTCTCTGTCTAAAGCCAAAAAATGAAAGTGTACTTTCAGGAATGTTTTTTGTAACATGAAGCAAGTCAATCGTTTAAAAACTTCTTCTTTTTCTAAAAAAGCTATTTCCATAATTAAAACATCAAAACTTAATCTGGAAAGGTCTGTGTCAGTGAAGGTAGCGACGATAACAAGACAACTGTGGATTGAGAGGGATACAACTACCTGAAAAATACAAGCAGAACTTCGATGTTGTATCCTTTTGTATCCCTCTCAATCACAGCTTTCTCATTAAAGCTTAAGCCTGTTTTTCACTTCACCATATCGTAACGTGCTGTAGAGCATTTTCTTTTCTGTTCAACTAATTATAGTTGCTCAGAATAAAAAAAATATACAGCTACGTTTCGGTATGATATACGGTTAAAATGAAAAACATGTTTTAGTTTTAAAATATTGAAAGAGACATTTTAACCCGACTCAGTTGGATGCACAGTATAGTTACGCCAAACTGGCTTATTGGAATTTAGTAAAAAATATTGTAGCAACTTTTTGCTTTGCCAGTATGGGCAAAAGTTTATTGAGAAGTTTGATGAAGCTTCAAAGACTTGGATAAACATATGGATTTGACTTAAAAACATTGTACTGTAAAACCACAAGAAATATTATGGCCATCTCGATAGACTGTGAGTGATTTACTTGGACAAAAGCTGCAGTATTGTCATCGTTGAAAGTATACGTCAGCCTTTACGAACCGTTAATTGCTGTTAATATATATATGTTACCATTTCATCTCTTATGAGAATAATACGTGGTATATATTTGTTGTTAAAGATAATTGATGAGCACGTCGAAAGATCGTGAGCTGTTTAGATAACGAGAAACTGATCGCATAGTGTCTACGCGTTTAGGAACAGACAGACCGTTCTTGTATCATGGCATTATACAAGGGTTGAATTACTAAAAAACTAATGGCTTTCAAACTCCTGATCACAATGTGACTGATATACGGGAATAATGCCAAACCGACAAACTAGTTTCAATTGATATATTTGCAAAATTCGAAAATTTGTAGAGACAAACATTCAAATAATATACAGCATAACTTGAAAACATTGTATTGGAAAGCTATATACGTTTTACGAACAGTCCTTGTATCCCACGCTCGGATGTACCACTTGTGATGTGTACAGCATAAGGCGTGATATCAGTATTTGTTGAAAATATATGCGTGTGGATTTTATGATCCTGGTCACAATGTGGCGTATGTATGATGAATGGTATTGTTGTAACTTTCAACAAGCTATGGTAGTTGGTACGAAGTTGGCGAATGCTAGTAATGAAAATGACAAATGGTACGTTGTCCGACTACTAGAAACTAAATTTCGTAATTATTGTGAAAATGAGCAACGATTTGAAGGAACTTTCGTACCGAAAAACAAAATTGAGAGAATCCAAAGAACCAATTGAATCCCGTGTTAAGCTCCGTGAATTATCTTATAGAAAGAAAAGATGTAATTATTCTAGACATGCGTGGTCTTACTAACGATGTTCCGGACTTGTTTGGACTTACTTGGTGATCATGACACTAAGGATTTGGCGTTTCTTCATATAAAGCAGTGAACGGTATTGATTAAGTAGTCAAAACGTGGAACATAACGCTTGTGATTAGGTTGTGCTAGTACTTTGTCTGCCAGTGAATTAACAGAACGAACGTGTTGGAGAACAAAGAAAACTGGACAATTATTTACCTTTGAATTACTTACTTTGAATTAGTTAATTCTAGTGTAATTATACTGTTTGTAGATTAAAATAGTTGTTGTTGTATAGGTTCTTCAAGAATGAATAATGGATAATGATTGTAATCATAAACAATCGTAGCCATGTTGTTGTTTTTGCGGGAGGTATTGGGATGTATCATACAAACGGGTTCTTAGGCTTAGTATAATTAGGAGGACCGCCGAGAGATATTGCGGGGATCAGGGCAATATCTTCCATGCAACTCGTAAATATAACGACACAATTTTAGAGCAGCAGAAACGATGGTAAGTTTGGCAGTACTTCTCAAGGGAGACCAGTGGCGTAGCCAGCTCGATAAGCGGGGGACATATTCATATATTCGTATTCACAGACCGTAAAAACAATCAATTTCAAAAGAAATTATAGTGCAGAACACGAATATATGAATTTATTATATACACAAGGTCTGGATATGAGGTATTCTGCAATCTGCTTGGTTCTCTACTAGCGGGATCATGGGCGTACCGGAAGGAAAAATTTAGGGGGGCGGCAAGAAATTTGCCCGACTTTTCAGGATTTTGCCCGACAAGTACCGAAAAAATTTTTTCCGGAATTTGTTTTGGCGACCTTACCCCCCCCCTCCCCCCCGTCGCCAAAAAATTTCGATTAGTGTACCATTTTAGGGGTCAAAAATTTTTTCCGGACATACCATAATTGTCCGGAACCTACAAAAATTTCCGAAACTTCGCCGAATTTTCCGCAAAATTTACAGAATTTGTCCCATTTTTCTTTTTTTTTTACCAAAATTGCCCGACTGCTCAGCGAATATTGCCCGACTGCCCAAAAAACTGGGGGGGGGGGGTTACCGCCCCCTCCCGCCCGGTACGCCCATGAGCGGGATATTAGCTCATATCCTGCTAGTAGAGAAAAACAAAATGGCGCCCAAATTGAATGTTTTGCAAACACGATAACGGCAAGTTGTCGCTTTTTATAGCCTTTCAGGATTAAAAACACAATGAAAAAATTCCCACAAATTGTTTTCAGGTTAGCAAATAAATTTTTAAAATTTAAAATGGTTAAAAATATATATTTTTGAAAAAATAACCGGCCGAAAGAGCGAAGATAAAAACATAAACAAAATAGAAAAATATTGAAAAGATACGAAAAGCAAAGTCTGTGAATGCAGACTTTGTGTATATAATAAAACAGTTATTCCACTCACCCTCGTCAAATATGAGCGATAGCCGATTCGGCGCTAAGCGCCTCATCGGCTATCAGCTCATATTCGACTCGAGTTCGTAGAATAACTGTTAAATGTCCCACCACGTATCGAGCTGGCTACGCCACTGAGAGAGACCCTGAGCTCAAAATATGGGCATGAACAGGTCCCCAACCCAACATGCAATGGGTCCCGCTCATTTCTGCCTTTCTCTTAATCTGGAGCTTATATTCGTCTTGGTACAGCCAGGGCAATTAACCTCGTCCCCAATTAACCCCGTATATTGTTGATCCTGTCGTGTTCACGATCAGAGAATCTGGTAAAACCGCTATGGTTCAGGTTTGGTAACCTGAAAAAGATTAAATTCTTCGAGCGATGGTTCTTCGTGAAGTAGGATTTAGATTCGTAGAACTAAAATAAATTATTTTAGAAATTTCTTATTGATATAGTTATAACACGTTAAGGCGGATTAACATTATTATCCCATACCTGTGTTAAAAGCGGCTTTCTGGTTGGTTTAGAGCAGGTGAGCTTGTCGTCGAGCTCACCTGCTTTTTGCCGAACTCACCTGCTTTTCGCCCGAACTCACCCGCTAAACTGCTTACGTTGCAATAACAATAACAAATATGGCGGACAAGATTTAGCCGATAAACCTAAACTTTAATTAAAGAACTTTTTTCGGTGACTAACATACTGAGACTGAAGAAAAACCAAAGAAAAAATGCAGTAAAGGTAATGTAGACGTAGATAAAGAAGTATTTTCTTGCCCAGTGATTTTTTTGGCCGGGAAAATGTTCACAAAACATCGACGAATATATCGCGAAGAGCTACAAATGTGTGTATGGCTCGGTCAGCCTCGGTGTATGGGATAAAAACCAAACGTACTTGCAGGTTCGGTGAGTCCGGGATTGGACGCACCTCGGGTGGCTGGAAGTTTCCCGAACTCACCTCGCTTCGCTCGGTAAGTTCGGGAAACTTCCAGCCACCCTCGGTGCGTCCAATCCCGGACTCACCTCCCTGCAAGTACGTTTGTTATAAAGCCAATTTTCTTTCAAGTCTCTTTTTGACAATGGGCCGCGTATTAAACATAATGAAAGCATTCTACTCATGACGAGACCTCGTAGTGAGCTCCATATATATCTGGAGCGAGAATTCGAGTCCAAAACGTGAAGTCAGGCTCGTGTTAATCGCGCAGCCAAAAACAGTAGAAAGGGATTGGAAATGACGCCCGATAGCATAGATAGATTTAAAGACTAATATTAACCTTGGTTTTATGAACTGATAACTTGGTTAGCGATACGATCCTTTAAAAAAAGCTAGAATTAGCTGGGGAAAATTTTCAATTTATTTCCCCTTGCCAGGCAATTTTCTATTTTACGGATGGCTTTTATTAGCATGCGTTGTTCCAATGTCAAGGTTACAGCCGAGACCGGTCTCAAATGTATTTGTGTTTACATTCATCCCAGTCTGAACACAGGGAGCCCATCCCGGGCCTTATTGAAGTTATGTTAATTTAATTAGAATTACGTATGAAATAGCTCAGTGTTGAAGCCTGCGATTTGCGGGCAGTGTGCGAGCTAACGCGCGCGTTGAATCATAGGGTGCTATGACATTGACAGATTATCGACTTAATTAAGTTTCTATAAATTTCAACAAAAGAACTTCTTTCATAAATTACCTTTCTGATTACAAACTTGTCCTCTGCAACTAATTTGCAAAATAAAAAAATATTGCGGTTTACTGGTAAGTTAATTTATATATTTTTTGAAATTCTCACGGCCGGCCGATCACTGATTTTGAAATTTTGTTTTATATGTGTTTAAAATTTTATATGTGTTTTATATTCGAATATGCCAACAGCTACAATACTATTTAATAGTTTTCATATGATTTTAGAGATCTGTGGAGTGTGTTGTAGGAAATAAGTAAGCATTTCAGCTACATGTCAATATGTCATAGCAACCTGTGGAATACATCCCGACACATCCAACCGTACAGTGCTGTGCGATCAATCGAAAAATTTCTCCTCGTTAGCAACTATTTGGAAGGTTTTGGCTAGACGATATGAAAGAACATGCCCTAGTGGACCTTACAACATAATAAAACTCTGACCTTTTTATTTAAACACACTGATATTGTGCTTTGAATTCTGGGCTTCCAGGCACTCGTGGATGTTTCATCCCTTTATTATTTCCTTTATTATGTATTCAAAGCGCACGTTAGCCCGCGCACAGCCCGCAAATCGCAGGCTTTTTTTTGTATAAACATATATTTTTCAAAAAGACGTTTACCCAAGAGCTATCAAGCTCATCGAGGGGCTTACGTCACTATTTACATAATATTTAAAAGTAAAAATAAAATAGAGTAAATAAAACAAGGAGGATTCCCTCATAGAGCTTAACGAAACGTTCAGATTCTTTAATGAATTGTTGGACAAAATTGAAAACTTTTTTGTTATCATCTATATTTAGATTAACATCGCCAAACAAAAACATCTTTAATTTTTGAGAATCCGACAAAAGATTCCAGCTATCACCACAAACTTGTGCAGCAGCCGAGAGTAAGGAAATCCTCAGAGCAGAATATCGGGGACACTTTAGCAAATAATGTATATAATTGATTCATTATTTGCACCACACACACATGCTGGACTTTCAATACAATCTATTTTAAAAAATAATAATTTAGAGTACAACAATTGAGACGAAGCGGAGGATGTAAAATGGAGGAATATCTATCAATTGAATAATCAAGATACTTATTATAACATGAAATATAAAAAAAAACGATTAAGATTTTGTTTAAAAACGCTAATTGATAAAGTACTACGTTCATTATAGTCCATACTGTTCCATAACATAGTTGTTGAAGGAAAGAAAGAAGCTTTGAATCTTTCAGTTTTAACAGGGAATAAAGTAAAATTTGATGCATGCCGTAGAACTAAACCCGACCTTTGCTGAACTGTTTGAGGAATTAAGTCAGACAAATAGCTTGGAGTAAGATTATTTACTATTTTGAAATACAAAACAAGTTTGTTCAACACTGAGCTATATATTTCATACGTAATTCTAATTAATTAACATAACTTCAATAAGACCCGGGATGGGCTCCCTGTGGTCTGAATTCATGCCGGTCTGATGTCAGACGCCTCGGTCCAGCAGGCGGAATGACTTGAAACCGGTCTGAGTTCTTTTCGTCCCGGTCTCATGTAAACATCTACTATAAATAAGGGTCAGCCAGGGGGGTCGTGGTATCCTAAATACCTGATAAATATGGATCAAAATACCTATTATTATTGTCAAAATGTTACAAAATACCTAAAGCAATCAGAAGCTGTATACCTAATACCCAAAATTAGTCATAACATTTGAGTAAATATACAGTATACTCGAATTAAATACCCATTAAATCCTGTATACCCAAAACCCCATGGCCGACCCTAATAAATAATACTTGATGACCGAAACGAAATGGTCCCGGTTTGACTAATTCGTTCCGGTCTCATGTAAATGGGGGCCTAAAGAACGCTGATGAATTTAGCGTGGCATTTATTTACAATTCTGATTTAGGAATTCCAAAACACTGTAGTCTGTACGCAAACTCTATGCCAAAGTCAAAATTTTTAACGAAGCTAACGTAACTGAGTATAGTTGCATGAATGAAACGCCAAAGTACACCGTAACCTTGAATAGAACACCAAAGCATACCATAAAGACTATGAATTTCCACTGTGCAAATTAAGTGAACGGCGATATACAGTATAGTGTGAAGTAGTTAAACGGTATATAGCGTGTGAACGATGGCTGACCATCAAAGACACTTTACAGTTTACATATATAATATACAAAGTTTGTGAAAGAGTTGTTCAAGCGAGAGTAAATACTTTTAAATAAGCGTGAAACAATGTACAAGTCTTTAGACTTTACTACAAATTGTCATAAGTTATAGGCGTACCTCTTTGTTATAGATGTAAGACCAGATCAGAAGGTCCAAACAAAATAATAAAAACATAACAATTTAACTCACCTATACCGTACCTATTACATTCACCCTTTCAAAATCCACTCACAGTTTTTGCCATTCGGCTAAATTCATTCTAGGTTCAAATTTCTCTTAGTTCAAACACTTGAAAAGTTTAACCGCAAAGCTTCCGCTCTGTCGAGTACCATGCATGTCCACTATATGCACGAAGCAATAATTCTCATGAAAGACAAATGCATCTGCCTACAATTACTATTGTTTGGCAGATAACTCAGCCATGTTTTGGACACAATAAAAAATGCTCATCGACATCTTTTGTCAATATTTTGTAAGTGTGTTTGAATGTATGCAGAGGCCAAAGCTAATTAAGCACACTAAATTCAAATTTTTATCATAACTAAAACGTTCAAGTCCACGTACTGACACTTTAAATACGATAAAACGCTTAGGGTTGTGCTTTGATCATGTGACGTTTATTGAGAAATACTACAGTAATTTTTGTCATTACCCAACAACTTTTAAGGTTTTACCTCTCATGTTTTAATGATCATACATCAGTTTTTCTTACCAATTATCTCTACAGTAAAGTACAAATTCACTATTAGACGGTTTTAGATAACAAGACGCGGACACAGAATACTACGGTACACAGAAGTCCATCTCCATTGTTTTTTGCGTAAGCGTTATTCGTCATGATTCGTCACTCAGCAAGTACCGTAAACAGAAGCAATCACCCCCCCTGGACATACGCCATTTTTAGTATTTCCAGGAGGGAGACTGCTTCTGTTTACGGTACTTGCTAAGTGACGAATCATGACGAATAGCGCTTACGATAAAAACAATGGAGATGGCCTTCTGTGTAGTATTCTGTGACGCGGACGTCAAGAGGACGTCATTTGACCGAGGGAAACTGGGTCGAGAACGCCGTCGTGTTTACAAAAAAAATGTATTTAGGAAAGTGATCTGCGACGTTTCAAGGACGTTGCTTTGTATTCTCGAACAGTAATCAAGGTTTCTTCCTGTCATTTGAAACAGCTATGCAAATGATCTAAATAAACTCGTACTCTTTTTTACTATTTGTCTCATCACAATAAATAAAACGTGAACCAAGTAATCAAACCGAATTGGCAAGATGAAATCACAATATTCTGATGGTATTGGACAAATATTTTTATCAGTTAAGTGATATTGTTCAAACGGACACGTAATAGTGACTTTCAAATAACATTTGTTATGAAACAATTTATATAAATGATATTATGATAGGCTACAGTTCTCAGGTATTTCTTCCTTATGAAGTTGGATGAAAACCGTTGAATATAGAAATATTTAAATAAAATTCACATCAGCTTTCGTCATGTTGTCGTGTCCTATAATTTTAATTTTTATTTTTGAAACGATATTATCGATGGCGGGTCGTAGTTTGCAAGATGTTCGTGATTCTGCAGTTATTGCTTATGATTTGAATTATATTTCTGATATTGAATTCTCGTTGCTGTATGATTACAGTCGTTCAAAAGCTGTTTTCCCCTACTGGAAATTTGACGAGTTTAACCTGGCATCTTGGAGTGATGAAGAATGCCGAACCGATGAAACCGAGCTAAGATTCGCAAAAAGTGACTTGGAGTTACTTAATAATTATTTGCAAATACCAGAGAAGATTGTCTGTGTGCAAGGGAGCATATGTAATGGTATGGAAGCCCTATGTATCCTGTTGAAGAGACTGGCCTACCCATGTAGGTAAGTAGGTAACCCCCCCCCATCCAGCGTCCAAAGGGATGCCGCCAATGACCTCATATCAATGACATCACCGGAAATACCCGCATAAATTATGAAGTATGAACGTTCAGCTATTCCCGCATAAATTATCAAGTATGAACGTTCAGCTATTCCCGCATAAATTATGAAGTATGCACGTTCAGCTATTCCCGCGTAAATTATGAAGTATGAACGTTCAATTGTATGTATCCGGTTTGTAAGCATTACGTAATTGTATTGCACATGTCTATAAAAGAGACTGCGCGTTTATTCACTGATATCATTGCATACTAAGTCTTTGAAAATGAATTTTTCACAAAACTTTGAGCAATCGAATTGGGCCAACAGTGTTCATGCAGACGAAGTTTCGTCCTCTGATTATAAAAGGCTTTTCAGTTTGTTAGAAGCTATATATGCAGAGGCTGTTGCTTGCGAAGTTGGTAAACTTGCTAAAGAGAGATTTTGTGGTTGTGAGTACGACCATCCGAGTCAACGCCAGCATGACTGTCTCATGTTATCAGAACAAGAGAGATTGCAATCGTATGGTTTGGAAGCCATAGAGCGAGTGATTGTTAAACGTATGGTTTGGGGGGAGTTTGTTGAGGCTATTAGAGTGATGAAGTTACAGTATCATAAAGATGTTCGAGATCACTTTGACAATTTAGAGAAAA